CATTTTTTGGAAACGACCTTCTTTCTGGAAGTTCAAAAATTGTTGGCTACGATTTATCAAAGTAACTAATACTAGTATTGTGTTTTGAAATAGTTGGGTAAAGTTTATCGTGGCAATTTTTAAGTTTAGCGACTTTTCAAAATGGCGGCAATTTGTTTATTTTCGTGTTGATCGTGACGATATTTTTTAAATACAAGTATTGATTCGCTCCTATTTCTTATCTTTTAGGAATGCTGTGACACATATGTGGAAAATTCAACTTAAAAACATCCAGAAATAGTTCTTTGGTATGGAATTCTATGCCATGTATAACTATTACGAAATATGCTATCGATAAACACGCACACTCGGAGATGCACAAGAAGGCCATGTCATTTAATAGAAGTGGGAAGCAAAGAAAATCACGGCGTTCTCAAAAGCTGCAGATCACTGGGCTTCCATGAAAGTCCGAAGAATCAACATTACATAGAAATCACACAGCAGCAGATTCATTTAATCTTCTACATAAATTTGTTAAAAAATAAAGACACATTTTCATCCATGCAAGCCTGTCATTATTGTTTTTTTTATCTTCAGACAAATGCTAATAATATGTAAATTATATGCAAATTAGCCGCCACTCTGATACATTTTTCTGGGGAGAACACTGTTCTAAACAGTCTGCCTGTTATGTAAAATACAGATGACTCATCCCTTCAATATGGACAATGCAAGTGTTTTCATTCTTGAAAATTTATGTTCCACATTGTTATTAACCATGCTTACAAATTTTTGACAAAGGAAAATGAGTTATGTGGACTTCTCATTGTCAGGTGATAAATTACTATTTAAATATGGTCATTACTAAAGTCATTTCACTCTGCATAGTGAAGGTCAATTTTTGAATAAACTCTATTATGAATTACTTTTATTTCGTTAAAGGTAATAACAATGTTATACGCAAGAAATTTAAAATTCTGTGTATATAAAATTCAGTCCTTATGCCTGCTAGGACAGTACATTAAGATTTATATAAATAACATAAAATGATGTGTGTTCTATGGTGAGATGATTCCATTAAAAACAAATACCGTACTCGACCGCGTTAGCACCCATGCCCTGGCAAGCGCCTACTTTTGCGCAATTTTTATATTTGGGGGCACATTCGGCAAATCGCCCACCCCTTCAAAATGCAACTAATTTAAAACTTGGTCTTGCGTAACGAATCTTGGTAATCGTTTTTATATGATACAGCGTGGATATCGACTGCTGTGAACATGTTGTGAATGCGTAGAACACGGTAACCGTGCGTAAACTACACTTCGACAATGACCTGTTAATATAAGTAAAATGCGGTAAATATTTTATGCTATATACAGTTTACCTCCCAACAATGGCTAGTTACTAGTTTTTTTGAAAAACTATGTCGTTTATTCGCTGAAATCAATTCCAACAGATCGTACTTCGACATCGATAATTCACTTCCGCATTGAGTTACCGGAAAGTCTTCGGGAATTTCCGAAGAATTGCGTCAGTACAACACAGCATTGTGATTGGTTAATAACCAACTTGACCCATTAGGTCAAAGGACGCCGGTGCAGGTGAAATCTGCAAATGCATCATGGCGGAAAGTGATTTTCTTCGAGAGTTTGCGTACGATCCAACACCTTCGTCAGTGGAGATAATATGACAATTTTGACTTCGACTGTGTTCCAACAGACTCAATTGTTTATTATTCCGTAAATTATGGTGGTACGTAATTAATATTGTAATAAAATGTGCATATTTTTTGTGATCATTTCTGTTTCTTCGTTGTGAAAATCAATGACGACTCAACTAATTTCGTAATTTGATTTCCCTCAAAGACGTAATCTGTCACTTGATGAATAAAATTTTTCATTTGCACTCTTTTTCGAGGGGGGTTCGGGTAAGCGCCCACCCCTAAAAAATCGTGATTTTCTGAGTTGAGGCCCTTGGGCGCTAACGCGGTCTAGTATGGTATTTATTGTCCTGTGAATGGTTATGACCTTACACATCAAAACTATTTTTCATGTAAACTAACTCATATGGATTCAAACTCATCTCAGTCATTTGGTATGGACCCCTCCCAATTTGGCATGGAACACCCATTTCTGAAGTAGCATTAAATTATGTATGATAATGATAATTTGAGTGAAGCGAAATTAATTGTAATTTTATTTGCGGCCAATTTACATGAAGAGTTGCCATATGGTATTTGTGTACAACCTTTTCAGTACATTGTGAATTTGCAGAATTCTTGTAGGTTCATGAACTCAGTTTGACCCTATGACCACATTATCGCTCTATTAGTAGTACATGTGCTTTACATAAATGACAGGTATGTCTATGGCCAGAAGTAATAATTCAGTATACAGGTTCAAGGACCTATGGCATAAATAAAGTTCATTGTGTTTATATAAAGGTTAACACATTTTCTCTGTTAGTAGTGTGGAACTAATAGGTAAATGAGTACTATGTCTTTAGTCAAAGTGTTTTAATGATCCAGCATACAAGCAGGGTTCTCCACAGTTTGAAAATTAAACAGGGCACGCCAATGTGAAGTGGGCGTGGCACATTTGAAATGTGCATCATTGGCAAGGATGTTAAAAATATATAAACATAAATATAAACATTTACATGTTCAAGCAAGCATTCGTGCAGACTTCTTGGTGATCAGCAATGTCTGTGATGGTACGTCGGCTGCGCTGGTCGTTTACCGACCATGCAAGTGCATAGCTGCCCGGTTGCTGCCTTTGTTCCACTCGTCGGTGATGATGTTGCCGCTACCTAGTCACGGCGTGAACTTGGTTTTAATCATAGACCTTATGTTTAACGAATGGTTTTACCGATAACGATTTTATATATTTGACGTCACCCTGGCAGTAAAAATATGGGTACGGTAATGCACTTTTCTAGGCCACATGTTCATTTTTAATCGTGTTGAATAAACTTTTTGTTTGGTGGTGTTATTACCTCATGGTGACCTGCTGCGATAACAAACCGGAATTTTCACAGTTGCACCTTAAAACAATAAACCAGTTACCCTGAGCACAATGAATCATCTTCGGAATGAGTGTTGGCCTGTTTTGTAAACAATTCTTTGTCTGGGACCATGCAGGGCGCACAGGAAATATAACGGGGCGCTGACAATTTAAAGAGGGCGCCAATTTCAGATAACAGGGCGTGGCGCCCTGTAAAAAACCCTCGTGGAGAACCCTGTACAAGAAATTACTTTGTGTGTGTGTTGGGATTAAAGTTCCATTTCTAATAGAGCAAATACAGTAAATTTTGTATAATAGAATGACTATTGTTCATTGTCTTTGAACATGATGATCTGGCCGAATAGATGAACTGACATTTATCTCCAAATACTATGAGTGATTTAAGTTAGCTTAAGTAATTGGAGATTTGGTACTAACATGGTCCATTTAAGACCATCAGAGACATTGTATGAAATTCACAATGTCGCTGTCGATATGTTTTGTTGATAAGCAGAAATTGTGCCAGCTTTAAGTCGTCAATCATTGCCAAATGCTGAGTGTTAGCCTTATTAAAAAAACAAATGTCTCACTTTCTTGCAGATTAGCAGAATTGAATACATTCACTCAAAGAACTTCATTCATCGTGATGTAAAACCAGACAATTTCCTCATGGGGCTGGGTAAAAAAGGCAATCTTGTTTATATCATAGACTTTGGCTTAGCCAAGAAATACAGAGACGCGAGAACACATCAACATATACCTTACAGGGAAAACAAGAATCTCACTGGCACAGCAAGATATGCCAGCATTAATACACATTTAGGAATAGGTGAGTTGTCTCTTTATCTCTGTTAGAATTTGTGCAATGTGTTTCGTCACAGCATATGCATTGAATACGGAGGGAGGGGGGGGCAAGAGTATTTTATATTCAAACCTGGGTTAACCCAAACCACCTGAAGAAACCCAATTTTGCGGTTTCAACATCCCAGGACGACCACATGAATTTGAATAAAAATGGTGTTCATTTTAATGGTGTTCATGTACTATTTTTTCTGATTGACAAGTTATCTTTCAGTGTTTCATCCAGGGCGCGCGATTGCGCGATTCGCGCAAATACTTGAACTCAGCGCCGCCACTCAAAGGAGGACGGGGCGATCATCGCGCAAAATCGATCTTATTACCACTCCCAGCCACTCCCTCAAATGAGACGGAACACGCGTCTGACACACACTTTTTGGACTGAACCACTTACATAGCACGTATTGGGCACGAGTAATATTGCAAATGCAACATTGTATATCCTACGCGAGGGAAGTTAATTGCTTCCAGGGCAGTAG